CTACGTTCAGCGCTAACACTCGGTTGGTCCCTGTACGTCATTCACTCCTCCTACGTTCAGCGCTAACACTCAGTTGGTCCCTGTACGTCATTCACTCCTCCTACATTAAGCGCAGACACTCGGTTGTCCCTGTACGTCATCACCCCCAGGATGCTGTCAATCCTATTTGTCCCTCTCTCACTAGTCTTGACCCCTCCCCCATTGATGCTGTCCAATCATATTCGTCCCTCCCTCTATAGGCCGGCCCCTATAGATGCCTTCCAATCCTATTTGACACTCCCACTCAAGGCCACGCCCCTATAGAAGCCTTCCAATTATATTTGTACCTCCATCTCAAGGCCAAACCCCTTTGGATGCCTTCCAATCATATTTGACACTCCCTTTAAAAGTCAGCCCCTACAGATGCCTTCCAACCGTATTCATCACTCCTACTCTAGGACACACGCCTATAGATGTCTTCCAATCAAGTTGTAGTACCTTCCACACTAGGACACACCCCTATAGATGTCTTCCAATCAAGTTGTAATTCCTTCCACACTCGGACACAACCCTATAGATGTCTTCCAATCAAGTTGTAGTACTTTCCACACTAGGACACAACCCTATAGATGTCATCCAATCAAGTTGTAGTACCTTCCACACTAGGTCACAACCCTATAGATGCCTTCCAATCAAGTTGTAGTACCTTCCACACTAGGTCACAACCCTATTGATGGTGTCTATTCCTTTCTTCCCTTTCACACAGGCTTAACCACTGGATGTCATCCCGTTATTTAATTTATATAGTTTTCATACAAAGTAATGGTCACTGGTATCTAACAAAGTTCACTGGTATCTTCATTCCTACTATTTAATTTAGGATATTCTGCTCTCATGTGTCGTGCATACATAGAAAGCTATTACCAAAAATGTACATCTGTTTTAAACTGAACACCCACTACTTTAGTCAACAGTGAAGAATGAGTAACATCCATGTTGCTGAATCTGATTTCAAAGCAGAAGAAAATGTGAAACAGCTCAGCACAACCATTTGTATCATGTACTCTGTACAGCGTGTAATACAACACAAAACTTACAACAGCAACACACTACTAAATAAAAATCACTGAATAACAGTCGGTAATAAAATAATCTTCCAAATCATACAACTCGTTGGTGATCTAAGGAGATAATCCTGAAGTCTGCACCTCAAAACACAGTACGTGTGTTAAAATGCTAAATCTGGTGTATGGTTGAGCCTAACACAATGAGAATGAAATAGACTATGACGATTTTGATTGTTCTATGAATTGTCTTTGATTTGTAGATAAACCAGTCAAAATAACTTTTAAAAGTTATATACCTATTGTAAGCAGATAAAATAATTAATCTCTAAATATGTATACAAGAGTACTTTTCAAAAAGATAACCCATACTCATTACGAAGCAAGTTCATTCCAAAATGTTGGTGCTTCCATAGATACAACAGCCGGAAGAGATTGTCACTGGGGATGATCTCAAAACTACATAGGTAGAAACATTTAAAAAAAAAATCTCAATTGAAAGCTTTCGTACTTGTACTGTCAGCTTTAAGAAAAAGGATCAAAATAAGGAGTTTTTTTGAGGGGCACATCCCTTGTCAAGGTATTCATCTTTCATTATGATGCTGTGCAACTTTAATTCCCAGATAGCGACATTGATAAGTGAGGGATTGAAAACGGTTAGGTCCCGAGTTTATTGACCCCTGCTTTGTTTTGACAGTACAATATAAGTGCATACAATATACAGTGATATTCCATGGATGGAATGAATACAGGACCACACAGAGAATGGTGAAAACTAGGCAAAAGTTCCCTGGTTCAAAAGACTAATTCTGTTAAACGCATTGCAACATGTGATTGTATGGGAAACTTTTTCCAGAAAAGAACTTAATCAAATATTTCATATCAGTGATAAGGTTGAAATGATTTCATCTGGTACCCGTTACCCTAATCAATACCACTTCTATCAAAATGCAAAATTATGAAAAAAAAAAATATATGGTCCAAACAAAAAATATTACAATGATTTGTTAATCAGAAGATTTCTTGTTCAAGTAAAGAATCCAAATGAACATGAAATGCCCTCAACACTCAACTTTGATTATGATCTCAAAAGTTTGAAGATGGAATACTGATGTATGACACCATGCTCATGTGGAAGCAGTTCTGAACTCTACCACTCTCACTCTCACAGTCGCACACTCACTACCAGTTTGTAGATATGCACATGTCAAAATTTGCACAATCTCCATAATTGAAAAACTTAACATTGTTTTTTTATGATATCAATTTAAGACAATTCAAACATGTTCTCGAAACCAATCACTATTTTCTAACACAAACATTTATTGGTAAAAATTATAATATATAATTGACCATCACGATAGCAGTTTCTTGATTTAAAATTCTCTATGGCATGTAAATACAGAATAATATGTTTACAATTGTCAAATCTAAGAAATAAGCGATGATAACTTGAAATGAAAAATTTGAGTCCTTCTGAAGCAGGCTAATTATTTACACACATTCAAATAAGATAGCTTGAAAAACAGAAGGCACATATTTTAGAAGATTCTTAGGATCTTTCAGAATGCCGACACAGATCCTTTAGAACACTACACTAAAGGTGAGGGTCTGCGACTTCTACAAGTAGATTCTGTCATTTTTAATCACAATAGAATATAACAACAGGTTTTGCATTAAATGTATACTTTTGATGTAAATACAAAACACATCAACATTGAAGCAAAATTTAGAAATCACTTTTAACCAACATATTCTCCAATCTAAATATTTTCGGTGGATTTAGAAAAGGGAAGAACCTCCTATAAACAAGCAACAGCTCCATCAAACATGCAAAGTATAAATTAAAATTTCTAGATTTGCATAGAATTATGTGCATCACCAACAATCACATTATCAAGTTAATGTAGGTTATATATATAGAAAAGATATGTAGCAGTGATGTTTGAGTGTATATAATATTGTAGGTTTTATACATATAGAAAAGATATGTAGCAGTGATGTTTGAGTGTATATAATAATGTAGGTTTTATATATAGATAAGATATGTAGCAGTGATGTTTGAGTGTATATAATATCGTAGGTTTTATATATAGATAAGATATGTAGCAGTGATGTTTGAGTGTATATAATATTGTAGGTTTTATATATAGATAAGATATGTAGCAGTGATGTTTGAGTGTATATAATATCGTAGGTTTGCTATATATATAGGATATGTAGCAGTGATGTTTGAGTGTATATAATATCGTAGGTTTTATATATATAGAAAAGATATGTAGCTTTGAGTGTATATAATATTTTAGGTTTTATATATATTGATAAGATGTGTAGCAGTGAGGTTTGAGTGTATATAATATCGAAGGTTTTATATATAGAAAAGATATGTAGCTTTGAGTGTATATAATATTTTAGGTTTTATATATAGAAAAGATATGTAGCTTTGAGTGTATATAATACCGTAGGTTTTATATATATTGATAAGATGTGTAGCAGTGAGGTTTGAGTGTATATAATATTGCAGGTTTTATATATAGATAAGATTTGTAGCAGTGATGTTTGAGTGCATATAATATTGTAGGTTATATATATAGATAAGATATGTACCAGTGATGTTTGAGTGAATATAATATTGTAGGTTGTATATATAGATAAGATTTGTAGCAGTGATGTTTGAGTGAATATAATATTGTAGGATTTATATATATTGATAAGATATGTAGCAGGGGTGTTTGAGTGTATATAATATAGTAGGTTTTATATATATAGAAAAGATATGTAGCTTTGAGTGTATATAATATAGTAGGTTTTATATATAGAAAAGATATGTAGCTTTGAGTGTATATAATATTGCAGGTTTTATATATAGATAAGATATGTACCAGTGATGTTTGAGTGAATATAATATTGTAGGATTTATATATATTGATAAGATGTGTAGCAGTGATGTTTGAGTGTATATAATATTGTAGGTTTTATATATAGATAAGATATGTAGCAGTGATGTTTGAGTGTATATAATATTGTAGGTTTTATATATAGATAAGATATGTAGCAGTGATGTTTGAGTGTATATAATATTGTAGGTTTTATATATAGATAAGATATGTAGCAGTGATGTTTGAGTGTATATAATATTGTAGGTTTTATATATAGATAAGATATGTAGCAGTGATGTTTGAGTGTATATAATATTGTAGGTTTTATATATAGATAAGATATGTAGCAGTGATGTTTGAGTGTATATAATATTGTAGGTTTTATATATAGATAAGATATGTAGCAGTGATGTTTGAGTGTATATAATATTGTAGGTTTTATATATAGATAAGATATGTAGCAGTGATGTTTGAGTGTATATAATATTGTAGGTTTTATATATAGATAAGATATGTAGCAGTGATGTTTGAGTGTATATAATATTGTAGGTTTTATATATAGATAAGATATGTAGCAGTGATGTTTGAGTGTATATAATATTGTAGGTTTTATATATAGATAAGATATGTAGCAGTGATGTTTGAGTGTATATAATATTGTAGGTTTTATATATAGATAAGATATGTAGCAGTGATGTTTGAGTGTATATAATATTGTAGGTTTTATATATAGATAAGATATGTAGCAGTGATGTTTGAGTGTATATAATATTGTAGGTTTTATATATAGATAAGATATGTAGCAGTGATGTTTGAGTGTATATAATATTGTAGGTTTTATATATAGATAAGATATGTAGCAGTGATGTTTGAGTGTATATAATATTGTAGGTTTTATATATAGATAAGATATGTAGCAGTGATGTTTGAGTGTATATAATATTGTAGGTTTTATATATAGATAAGATATGTAGCAGTGATGTTTGAGTGTATATAATATTGTAGGTTTTATATATAGATAAGATATGTAGCAGTGATGTTTGAGTGTATATAATATTGTAGGTTTTATATATAGATAAGATATGTAGCAGTGATGTTTGAGTGTATATAATATTGTAGGTTTTATATATAGATAAGAAGTTATACTGTTATTTTTAGTCTTGTATAAAAAATTGTGTAAATTTTGGTTTGTGAAAATGTTCCTATGCGACTCCTTGAACTGCACAAGGCGCGGGAACCCCTGTGTTGGTCTGCTGTAACTATAACTATACTGTGTCAATAGGTGCCTTGTTATACATCTAAATCTGTTCCTTGTGATCAGGTTTTTAGTACATATATTGTATCGCTTTGTTTCGGCCCCCCTCCCTATCCCTGACACTCGATCATCTCCCCAAATATACTCGTGGTAATGTCAAGCATTACAAACTCTTGTTTTAACACCAAAATGTAAAAGGCCAATGTATATACTTAAAGTTGGCTGACTAACTAGTTATATCAATAAACTGATCAAACACTTTAAAAAAACAAAAACTCAAAAAGACATGTCACAAATTTGGTGCTGATGAAGACAACGTAACAAAAGGGTCCTACATTATGTAATCACAAACTGTGTGACAATCTTTACATACCCTCAACAGGTATACATGTTATAATCACAAACTGTGTGACAATCTTTACATACCCTCAACAGTTATACATGTTATAATCACAAACTGTGTGACAATCTTTACATACCCTAAACAGGTATACATGTTATAAACAAAACCCAAACGCTTCACAAAATACAACACAAAAATACAGCACCATTAGCAGTCTCTTCTTTTTCCAGATGTTTCTTCTAACCACGAGATTGAAAATCTACTTTTGGAAAATTCTCGGAAGATGTTCTATGAAGATGCTACAAGTAGATGCTATATGGTGTGGATTGTTTAAAGTGTGTAGACTGCGGTGTTGTTATAAACGATCAGCTTCCATGACCTTTGTTTTTGTTGGTGGCTTTCAGAAATGTTCACATACAAGGTGATAATTATATGGTGGACATTTTTTCTATTGATATATTATCGTCAATGCGCTCAATTTGAATGAGAAAATGTTCCTCTCCCTAACATTTCTTCTGGAAAAAGACTACAAACCATGCCGTTCCACCAAATTGAGAAATGAAAAGAGAATCTGAATTCTTATTATTTCAAATGTTTTTAACAGCCTGCAATACTATGTATGCACTATTATAATTTGCACCATTTCTTTTTTCTATAGGTAAGCTAAGGTTGGACTGTATCTAACAGCATTATGCCACCTATAGGTAAGCTACTATGTGACTAAGGACAGGCTATCTGTAGGTAAGCTAGGACTGTATCTAACTAACAGCATTATGCCACCTATAGGTAAGCTACGACTGCTAATTTTATCATTCTATAAATAAAGTTGTATGACAATACATTATGTATCTGAGCCTTTCGATTTACTGTGACTTGAGCAATTGTTTTCAGCAAACATTTATATTGATGAATATTTCCCACTGTACCCAGAACTAATGAGATGCAGGGATGAGACGGTCTTACTGTGATAGTTATAATATTTGTTGAATGAGAAAGCAAGTATTTGGGATGCTTGTTATGAGATTTTGCTCCGCACAAACATATTTACATTAACAGCAAGATGATCACCACAATCTCATTCAAATTTGGTCCTGTTCAAATTACGTAGATTTTATTGTTGATAATATGGTTGTTGTCATCGGATGGAAACTTTACCAAGTCACTATGATCAAGGTCGACTATAGACGAATGAAGCTTCAGTGTATTGCACATAGACCATGATTGCTTTTACTGTTGTATTCTTTTAAGAACTTTACCAAATCTATAATTAATTTCAATGTCTATTTAACCTCGACCTCCGTCATATTCATATCTACACTGCCAGGAGCACATTTATAATTTCAATTTACATTAGCAATAAATTGAGCTGTAAAAACTGCAAAAGGTGCAATCTGTATTGGGAAAATGTGCTCCTTTCAAACTTCTCTAAGCTAACTAAAATGACAGAATACTTTAATTCTAGATAATAAACCTAAATGAACATACAGAACCGGTATCTATTCTTCAGTTAAACTACGATGGAAAGTTAACATGATAATAAATGCAATAACCAAGGGATTATTCAGGTTGGCAACAGTCAGCACACATACCATTTCTCACGTACTGAACTAGGGTGCTCTAAGTATCTAAACAAGTCAAACTTTTAATTTCAAGGATAAATTAGGCAGCAGTTTATGCACAGTAGATACATGATCTCATTTCCTTCCCACGCTTTTGAAATATAACACATGACTTAGAATGCTGCCCACATAAACACTACAATCTTGGGTAAGTATGTTTTCTGTCAAAAATATATATGTATGTGGACAATGGTTACTACATATAATGACTATTTGTTTATCTTTGACGAAAATATGGTAATGTTTTGTGTGGTGATTGGACAAAATTATTGAACTATGAGACCCATAAGATGACTTTAACCTATACAGTTAAACCTCGATAAAATATCCCTCTTTACAATCGGATACCGCCAACATATCAAAGCTTCCTTTTCCCCCTTTTCTTCAAACATCTCCCCAAACGCTTAACCAAACCCCTTTAGAATGACAAAATGTCTCTGTGAAACTGTCGTCAGTTTGGGAAGGTAATGAAGGACAAATGAATGTCATTTACAAGGGGGAAAGATAAACCTTTATACCATCAAGATGGAGCGATACCTTTGACGTTCACAAGAGTTTTCCATTATTATGCATGCCATATTAATCTGAAATGGAAATGGATGACTTTTATACCCATGGGGTATGTACTTAGGAATGTCACAATTTTATTACAATATTCTTGTAAGTGGTTTCTGTGTTCCCCTCAGAAATATTCTGTAATAAATGTATGAGTATACGTACATAAGAAAAAACTTTTACTTGAAAAATATCAGCATTAAAAAAAATGTTCATATATTTTTTACAAAAATACCTGCAAACATACAAACCAACCTTTATTAATTATTTTCACTTATCCCAAAATCAAATCAGCATTGTATTTTTCAGGACTAACAACTAATTATATAATTTGAAAGGTAACAACATGTCTATGGTTAGTACGATAATAGATAGAGTTCTGTACAGCATCACTATCGACTACAATGATAGTCGGATTGGTTCGTACTCTTTAAAGAATATAATGACTCTCTACACAGCTGTTTATAATAAACATTCAACAATAAAATAGATTAAAAAAACAATGCATGATTTAATATATATATATGTCTATGTGAACAACTAAACACTGAGTGTTTTTCCTGAAAGACAAGGTAAATATTTCCAGTTGGTTTTCACACATAATCTATTCTACAGAAGTTTGATTACGTAATGGAATCGTTAGTAGGAATGGAGTGCCTGGGTTTTGAAAGCCTTCCATTTCTAAATTTGATGCCTGTATCTTGGTTTCTAGATGTAGACGTGGAGCCTTGTAGACTGTCGTCCACAGTGGTGATTTCTGTGGTGTTGGTCATGTTGTCATTCTCCTGCATTTCCATATCGGATTCTTTATATTCTAAGAGTTTCTCCTCCAGCTGAGATATCACTATTTCATCAGGTCGTATTGTCCTCTGCAGAATCCTTATCACAAACCTAAAACAAACAGTTCATGTTGTTAACACACACAAAGGAAGCTATTTATCATCACATATATTCCTTTAATTGATTGAGTATTCAAAGATCGGGACAAATGCTAATTCTACTTTACGTTCATATTTTTCTTTACTTTTAATGAATTTTTCTGACTTCATTTTTTTATTGATACAGAGATAAAATTTTACAAACTTAAAGAAAATCATATATTTTCCTTTCAAAATATTTTCATCTTTGTCCAATGGGTTGTCACTTATGTGCCTGTTTCTTTTCTGGTTTGACCAGCTGAACTAGTTGAACCAAAAAAGAAAATGAGTTGTAACGTTGGAAAAGAATAAAGCAGGAAAGGGGAGACAACTACATGTTCCTTACCTGGGTAGTAATGCCAGGACCGTGGACAAGAGGACGACCACGGTGTGGATGGGTTTGGTCATTGTGTGTATCATCACCCAGTAGGGATTGGCTGGATGGTCAAATGTAAACCACACCGCATTGGACAGGATAGCAAAGAACCAAAATACCAGGAAACTGAAAATTGTGGTCAGCCATTGTGGCCATACCTGGAGATATACATCAATCAATCAGTCTACGTTTAACAGGTGAAAGAAACAGTATAACCATGTAGGTACTCCGTGCAACAGAATGTTTCATAATTTTCTGAACTTCATAGATATTTTTGACATTGGATAATCATTCTATCACATAATGTACTGTTATCCAGTGAATATACCCATTTTATATATTTTTGAGCATTAACCCATGTTATATGACCTATAACAGTTTTTATAATATGACCTATCAGCCCTGTGATTGGTTGCAAGTTTCAATTGTGACGTCATGCCTAAGACAAGTACATGACATCACAGACTTGCGCACTGGAGTCAAAATGGCGGCTTTTTACATTTCAAGGTTGCATGAAAATTGTCGTTCATACGATAAATGCAACAAATCTTGAGTATGTGATAAAAAGGATCTTACACTCGTGTTCATTTCATATGAAATTTATGAAACTCGTCATGAATTTTTCATTTTAGCTCGCCAGAGGCTCGCTAAATTGAAAAATTCTTAAGACTCGTTTCACAAATCTCATATGAAATGGAAACTCATGCAAGATCCTATATATACATTCAAAATATATATGAAGCAAGTTGAAAAGTACAAAAGAAACACTTATATAGAATGTGATAAAAGTTCATTTGGATTTCTTTATTTGAACACAATGAAAATCCTTGGAGGCCATCTGAGAACCTTGTATGTACAGTCATCAATCAGTTTCATCAGTTTGGAAATATGTGATATCAAAGTTTTACTTTTTACAAAACAATGTACGTATTAAACGTGTCGCAACGTTTCAAGACCGACTGGTCCCTTTGTCAAGCTATGACTGCGTGAGTGATTTGTGTTATTTACCTGTACAACGATGTGACGAAATTGTATATTTTTCATGTCACTCGACCCGAGACATTTCGCGTATCGATAAACTTTGATGTGTTGTATGTAAAGGCTTTCTGACTCTACATTAAATAATGTTATAGAATCGTGGCAGTGAGACTTACCCACGATTCTGTGTCTATAGCGATGGTGAGAAGGCAGGTTAAGATGAGAGCGGTGAACGATGTAGTACCAAACTCCCACACTCCAACAGGCTCATACAGGTACGCCTACAAATAAACATCCACATCAAATATTGTCTGTCAGAATTCAAATAAGCATCTACACTAAAATATTGTCTGTCAGAATATAAATAAACATTCACACTAAAATATTGTCTCTCAGAATTCAAATAAACATCCACATAAAATATTGTCTGTCAGAATTCAAATAAACATTCACACTAAAATATTTTCTGTCATAAAATGCTCATTAAAGTATTCTGAGAGGTAATTTTGAAATTAAGAAAGATAATACATTCCTGTTTTATGAACTTTGTTATGTTTGTTTTTCTGTATAAGTAGGAGATGAGGGACCTACCAGGTAGCTAACATAGTACAGGATAACACTCTGATACAGGGAATCCAGTAGGGCCATGAAGAAAGACATCCGAGTGTACAACTGTAAACAAACAAATATATAATGACAGTGGATACATCTTTAAACATGTTAAAAAACACACATACAAATATCTATGATTTAACTACAGCAAAACTTCACTTTAATGAACGATATCTTGCACATCCCGTTAACTCTACAGCACTAACATTTTGTGTGGTCAAAACACTGTTGTTTTGTTTAAGACACTGTTTACAGTCTGTAATCCTTGCTGTCTTTATCTTAAATGGGCAATAATCTGCAGGATTTATATTTCACACATTTTTTTTGAGGCTGTGAATATTGCGAAATAAAACTTTCATAAAATGTACGACCTATACCGTATCTTGTTGTCAGTTTGTTTACAGCCCACATGACGTACTCCGGTCAGTGGGTACACATATTCTGACATAACTAGGCTATCTCACTCCAACAGCCTAAGGTGCTATGACATCTTATTTGGTAAATGTGGGAACAATACATAAACAATAAAGTATCAATCCTGTTATTGAGTGATGTTTTAGAAACAAGTTCTATTCATTGAGAATAAATTATCTTTATAAGTTTTATAAATAAATAAGCATATCATTGGTTTGTATAAGATGGTACAGCGATGTAAATTCTGTGACTCACATTACCAGACATCAGAGACTGTTTACTGTCCCCCTTACCTTGTCCTGAGGCCCAACTTTATATAACTCGGGTTTACTGAGCAGCGTTTCCGCGGATACATCCTTGTCCATGACAGCGTTGACAATCGGGGGGAGGGCAGTGAACAGGACATGTTTGAGCATGGTGAATAAACTGTCAAATTGTAGTGATCCAGAGAAGGCACTGTCAAACTGGTACCAGTAGAGCACGAAAATCAGGATCTACACAAACGACAACAAATCATGAACAGTTAGTATTTTACATATTTTTATTTTAGATAATTTGATAGTTTTCACACAAAAAGTGTTTAATTATAAACACAAATTGTATAGAACTTTAGAAAGTCTGCATGATATTGAGACTAAAATATAAAAATTCTTTTCCCCATTCAGATAATAATTATTCTTCGCTTTTATTAAGATCACACTATTATTGGATAATTTGGTATAAGATTGGTTTTTTGATAATGGTGCAATTTATAAGATACATGCAGGTGATATTGCATTATGTTTCTAGTTTCTATTATGTAAAGATTAAATGGTGAGTAGCCCCAAAGAAGAGCCAAAGTGTAGATTTATTATACTTTAGAATCTAAATTTTAATAAACGAGTTCTAGAATTATTTCCGTTTTATCTTATATGTTGTGTATAAAATGTAACTTACAACATATATAATACTCAACAGGTTTATATAAAACAATTGTCATACACTAACAAAATCGAAAGTAATAGACTGACCCATCATATAACTACTGATAGACTGACCCATCATATAACTACTGATAGACTGATCCATCATATAACTACAAAACAGGTCTCCTGCTTTGTAACACACCCACCAAGACAACTAGTACCAAGTCTCCTGCTTTGTAACACACCCACCAAGACAACTAGTACCAAGTCT